CTGATACGTCTGCCTCCGTCCCGATGTGCATTGTATCCTCTTCCAACATTGCGCAGTGTCCAATCGATCTTACTTTCAATTCTTCTTTGCCCACGTAGATCTGTCCGGCTAGGTCCTCATCATATGTTATCATGGTTTTCGTGTAGATGTTTATCCCATCTATATTTAACATCACCTCATGCGGACCAGAAGCTTCTGTGTATCTATTCTCAACACGGACTGACTTGCTGCCACCTCTTGTGAGTAGCGCCCTCAAGGCTCTAGATGTCGTCTGTGGACTTATTGCACTTAATTACTCTGCGTACACATCAATGTGCATTATTGTCTGGTCGCTGCGTTCGCTCAAGTTCCTCGTTACTTCATGGCCGCCCACAGTGATTATCGACATTATCCTGGCTCCGATCTTTGTTATGCCGAATGGCTTTCCCGTCACCATTTTCAGAGTGTTGAGATTTCCACTCTTTGTCACTCCCATTTTGGCTTCTGGCTTTGGCACTAAACCACTCAACGTCTCGTTCAATTGCTGCCTTTCGATCTCCTGTTTCAACCGTTGCTCGATTTCCTTCGTGGCTAGGTCTTGTTTCACTTTGTTGATGGCCTCTGCAGCTGCTCTCTCATAATTTATCTCCAGGGAATTCAGGGCCTTGGCCTCCATGGCACTCCTGACTTGCGTTACAGCCTTCACCGTCTTGGTCAGTAGTTCCGCACTCGGTGCCTGCGATTTTTTTGTTTCAAACTCAGTTTGTCAGTTTTTCTGGTTCTGCACCGCCGCTAACGCCAACTTATGCTTGAGGTGACTGTGGTTCTTGACTGCTTCCCAAAACAACGGACAGTCCATCCTGAAGTGCCCCTCTTGATTGCAGAAGAAGCATCTCGCAACTATTTTGATGATCAAGCCACTATAGAACTCGTGTTCTTCCATCTGGCTCATATCTTCCTCATCCGGTGCATATCCTAGGCTCTTCATGCTTGTACGTCGTGCAATCCGCCACGTGATGATCCGCTGACCCGCAATTTGCGCATGATCCACGTTTGTCCATGTCATCTCTAGTTTTGTACCATGACGACCTTTGTGGTTGACTCCCCCCTTGCATATTCCTGTTCTCCGAGTACGAGTACTTCTTCGGCTTCATCAGCATGTACTCCCTTGACTTTTGTCTCATCTCTTCTGGTGTCGGTGCATTATCTTTCGACAGTGTATAGTACGTTGCCAACATTGTTCTCAAGTCGTCACTTTTTACCCCATTGATGAACTTCGAGGCGATGCTAAAGTTCCTTCTGTTTGTTGACTCTTCAGGATCACTCCTTCGTCTCAAGCTCTCAAGATCATCCAGGAACCGATCAATTGATTCATCATCCCTTTGCCTTCTCTTTTCAAATCTCATCATCGCTTGGTCGCCCTTCATGCTTGACCCGAATCGATTCAACAATATCTCGAAGATCTTGTCCGCAGTGTTGCGTTACTCCTCCTTCTTCGCAACTACACATTTTAACGCTGTGCCTTCTAGGTTGCTCAATATCGCCGTGCAGGCCTGTCTCTCGTCATTCAAGTTGTCTTGTTCCAGGTGTAGTCTCATGACTTCTACCCATGTGTCGATGCACCCATCTGAGTCATCTTTAAATTCTTTCGGCTTCTTGAAGGTTTTCCTGGATTTGCCACCTCCTCTTTCACTTGAGTCAGTGTTCCTAGTGGCGAAGGCCTCCAGTGTCCTGTTCATCGTTTCCCAGGTGCTCGCCCACATCATGGTATCCGGTACCACGTTATTGTTCGTCGTGGAATCCCCTGGACCACTCGTCGTATTTGCGGTTCCACTCTTCATAATTGTCTTGCCCCCCCCCCCCCAGTGCTGTGCTTGCTGCATCCTCGGTTAACGGTAACGGTGTTGACTCCCGTTTGTTCCGTTGTGGTTCCACGAAATCGACTCTGTTGCCTTGTGCTCGATATTTGTTACCAGATTGTCTTGTGTTATAGAGTTTCTCAAGATGGCATCTAGTTTGGACTGTATGGCACACGAACTCTCCGCCTGGTCTCTGCTCATAGTGTCCATCCTCGTTTCCAAATTCCCTAGCTTACTGTTCACGGTGTCATATCGTTGCTTCATTTCTTGCATGTCTTTTTTGATGTTCTTCTCTCGGTCTTTGTCAGTGGCCTCTACCTTGTCTGACATCTGCTGAAGTTTTTCCTCCGTCGCCCTTGCCAGGTTAAAATAGTTGTCCAGGTACTCATTTTTGTCGTATCTTATTTCCTTCTTTTTCACTTCTCGATCCTCCTCGCTGCACTTTGGTTTTTTGTCGATCTGATCTAACTCGCCATTAAATCGCCCAGCTCAAGAGGAGTTGTTGTTTCATGGTCAGCTGTTGCCCCATGACTAGCTGTTGCCCCATGTTTGACCTGATTGTCGTCTTGGTTGGCCTCTGTTGTTATCGTGGAAACTGTTCCAAACGTTTAGCCTTTCTCGGCTTTCGGTTCTTCCTCCACTATGTCTCTTGATTTCATTCCGACCATCATTGCGAACCTCCCTGTGAGTGACGTTCTTTTCGTTTGAGACTCGTCCTTTGTGGTTTCTGGCGTGTTGCCCGTCGTGTCCTCCACGGTGTCTATCGGCGAGAATTCTATCGACTTTTGCTTTTGTTCTTCTGCATTCGGCATCGGTGTCGACTCCGTTGTCTTCTTCTCCACCTCATCAACACTCTGATCTGGTGTCTCAAGATCAATTTCTATAGCAGGTTTTTGTTCATCCCTCCTCAGCGCTTCCTCTCGTCTTGCATTCCTTTGCGCTTCTTGTGTTGACCATGCTCACTGAAAAGTTGTTCCTTATTACTTTTTGGTCCGATGGCATCGCTTTTCGTTGCGACGAGTTATGTTTTGTCTTTGACTCCAGAACTCTTTTTTCTGCTATCGGTACCCTACTTCGCCTCATGATTTTTATTTACCATTTTTTCTATCTACAATATTAATATTTACAAATTTCTCTTCTAAGGATAAAAATTCTAAAAATATTCCTAATTCTCTTACAGAATAAAAGAAAACACTTTCAATTCGTGATCTTAATAGAACGGATCTTTCGCGATTTAATCGTTCGGTCCGGTCCTTTTGCTCCTAATTGAGCGTTGAACTGTTTCGCACTGTCCCTAGACCTTTTGGTACTGTCACACAACTTTTTTATACCGTCCCAAGACTTCTATGTACTGTCCCAAGACTCTCTCGTGCTGTCCCAAGACTTCTCTGAACTGTCCCAAGACTTTCTCAAGCTGTCCCAAGACTCTTAGGTACTGTCCGAAGACTTCTCTTAACTGTCCCAAGACTTCTCTTTTGTTGTCCCAAGACTGTACTGTCCCAAGACTGCACTGTCCCAAGACCACTGTCACCAGACTGCACTGTCGCAAGACTACCGTCCCCAGACTGTACTGTCCCAAGACTACCTAACCCAAGACTACTGTCCCAAGACTGTACTTTCCCAAGACTGCACTGTCCCAAGACCACTGTCCCAAGACTGCACTGTCCCAAGACTACCGTCCCAAGACTACTGTCCCAAGACTGTACTGTCCAAAGACTACACTGTCCCAAGACCACTGTCCCAAGACTGCATTGTCCCAAGACTACTGTCCCAAGACTGTACTGTCTCAAGACCACCGCCCCATGACTACTGTCCCAAGACCACTGTCCCAAGACCACTGTCCCAAGACCACTGTCCCAAGACCGCACTATCCCAAGACTGCTGTCCCAAGACTACTGTCCCAAGACTGTACTGTCCCAAGACTACTGTCCCAAGACTACTGTCCCAAGACTACTGTCCCAAGACTGCCTTGTCCCAAGACCACTGTCCCAAGACTGTACTGTCCCAAGACCGCACTGTCCCAAGATCGCACTGTCCCAAGACCGCTGTCCCATGACTCTTCGGTACTGTCCCAGGACTTCTCTACCAAGTGTTGGGATAGTGGGAACTCTTCTCTTTCGTTGTCAGGACTCTTGAACCACTGTACCTGGTACCACCACTTGAGCTCTAGTAAAAAAAATTTCCCAAAAAACCCAATTTTACTGGCCAAAACTTACCAACCCCCCTGTATTTATCTCCCTTTTGATATTTTGATGCAAGTTGAAACCCAACTTTTTCACCTGTTTGTCTTGTGATCACCTGTTTGTTCAAAACCGATTCAAACTTTTTAACCAAAAACGTGAAAATTTGAGCTGGGAAAAAATAATAAAAACAGAAAGATAAACCCACCTAAAGTTCAAAGGTGACTTGTGACAACCTTTTATTAGAAAAAACGTCTGGTACCTGATTGCCACGCGTTTTCCTCCCCCCTGCTAGCAATCTTACGGGGTATCACAAAAACTGTCTGCTTCCGTTCCCCCCAACCAATCCAACCAGGGTTCCTTCCTTAGTTCGATCTTAAATTTGGATATCCGCTTCTTATAATCAACGCGTGTAAGATTCTAATGTTACTAAATCGACGATGTCGATCAATTAGTTACTCTAATGTGTCCCCCCTTTTTATAATTTACAACCGCCAACCTCTAACCTAACCAGCCCCCCTTCTAACCTCCCCCCTCTTTAGCCCCCCTCTTAAGCCGAAAATTACATTCAGCGCCGGGTGCTAAACCCCTTGAGTGAAAACCGTAGAACCTGTTTCCATGCCTGCTTGAGTAAAAACGTTCCTCAAAACAGTGGGCTTCCGCTTATCGAATTTTACACTTATCTCCTATTATGTATTGTGGATTTTAACGATACCCGTATGACCAACTTGAGAACACCCCCGTCCTCTCTTGTTAATCTGATTCCGCGCTGGTTGTCTCCTTGACGTGTCATGCACCTGATCACCAGCACCACTTTTCCACTTGGCTGGTCACCTGTTCCAGTCAATTCTCCTAATGGTCCAGCTAAGTCCCTGTGAACCACTTTCCTACTCGAATGGTCACCTCTTCCAATTAAGTCTCCTAGTGGTCCAGCTAAGTTGCACGCTATCTGAAAACCCTTAAAAACAACCCACATTCGTACCTTATTAAATTGCCGAATTGATCGAAACGATCGGTCTTATAAAAACAGTATGGGTATACTATTTAATTAATATAAAGGTGTGATCCAACTAATCTGGTGTCAAAGTCACTGTCAATTTTTTGTTTTATGGTTTTTGTTCCTTTTTCTATTTTTTTTCGGTTTTTGTTTTGCTATTTGTCTGTTGCTCGTTTTTTCGTCACCCTAGTTACCCGACCTTACTCGGTTAGCTAAGCCTCGTTCGGAGAGCGTATCAGGAAGTTTTCTCGAGTTTTCTCAAAAAGCGATCACGGTACAACCGGAAAGTTTACACGTTCCCGCTGAACCGTACCACCGGTAATCTAGAATGGGCATGTAGCCCGGAGCTGTGTCAAGTGGGTTCGACTTCGTAGTCATGATGTCGTCAAAAAACACCCTGGAGCGCCATCAATGTGCCATTCTGCCAGATAGGCACAGCGCAACCTTCCGGCGACACGAAAGAAAACGAATAAAGGCCTTAGTAATGAAAAAGCATTGCGAAGGAGGGTAGGAATATTCTAGAATTTTTATTTTTAAAATTTCGATCAAAGAGTGAATATTTCTCAGAAATACAAAAAGACGGCCATTTTGACTGAAAGGGACTAAAAAACAGAACAAAACAAATATTGTGGAAAACGGTCGCACAAGAGACGAGAAGTACGAAGCCTCTTATCGTGGCAACAACACACGATAAGACTCTTAGCAGTGGATATTAGTGGAGAAGGAAGCTTCAGTGGGGAAGGAATATTCCACGGAACACTCCCGTGCCACAAATTGGGAGAGATAAGAACGTTATCTCGGGAAGATTACGGGAGCGGAGGCTTGGTCCCCCAGAGACTGTTGTAGGTGAAGGGACTATATAAAACTGACTTTGTAGCTACTTGGATGTCGTAGAACTCTGAATAAACACCGGTATAATTTGATATTTTAGAATATGAGTAGCTAGAAAGAGGAAAGGGTCAATCCATCTCCAATGGATTTAATATAGAACTGTCACACAAAAACATATTAAAATAGGTTGTTCGAGCCGTGTTTTTAATAGCAATCACGTAGTCTGAGGATCCGAGACTCAGCTATGTGGTTGTGTTCGCATGTAAACGAAAGCTGATCAAAAGTCGTTTGACTGATGGCCTAAAAATAGTAACTTTTTACTTAGCCCTAAACAGACCAGAAAATCAACTGGCAAGGTCGAGACGGTGAAAAACGAGTAGGATTAAGGTAACTGACGCTTGCCAGTCGTTAATAGGTACTTTTTCTACGCTCCGTCGCTGTGTAGTATTTGGGCGAATGTTACATAGACGTTTTTTTGGCGCTCCTGGGTGGGCCTGTCAAAGGCATAAGACCATCATGATCAGCAAGCGTTTCAGCGACGAACCCTCCGCTCCGGGCGTATGCCCGAGTTAGAGGCCTTAGTGACCGTTATTGTACTAGGGGGAAGGTGCGTACCCTCCGTCTAGTACTATTTAGCTTTTCAACTTAGTTAACACCGAAAATTCCGGGGGCCGGAGGGTTAGGTGGGAAATCTAGAGCCCGCTTGTCCCGAGGTCCCAGGACCAAAAACAATTAAAGAGAAAGCGTAAAACCAAACAAAAATAGTGTATAACCAAGAAAAAGCCAAAAACAAATTTATTTGAAAACAAAAAAGTACAAAAAACAGTAAAAAATTCCAAAAAAGACCAAAAACAATAAAAAACATAAAGTGACAATTTATATGTTATTTCCGGACAAGATGTGATCTGACCTTCCTATTTGTTGTTGTTTCAGATTGATCTATATCATTTCTGATAGAAAGATTGTGTGTTTTGGTGAAGGGTTGGATACCCTCCCTTGAGTGTAATTTGAGTATTTAAGCACGTTATTTGCCGGTGACCTGAGGGTAGAGTGGCAAGCTGACCGACGTGTTCCACACTCAACAGGGACATAGGGACAACATCCACAACGACTGTTGGGTATCGTTGAAACAATTTTAGTATCGTTCGGGTACTATTTCATTAAAACTTAAGTGGTGGGGGGCACGATTGGCGCGGTCCGATTGTACCCTCCGTCGATCACAAATTTCCGAGTTAAGGGTCTTTATTCGGGTATTTTGGTGCAAAGGAGGGTATAGTACTATTCATTAACGACTACTAATAGGTTATTATCCTTATTACCTATTACTTATCTCCTAATTAGACCCAAGAAACACCAAAACTTTGTCGAAAATTATCGATTTTCGACCAAACTGTAGACCCCCAAGTTTTTGGATATCCGAGCTTTTCCGAACAGCAAAAAGTTTTTATATAGGGAGAAGCTACGTAGTTCGATCCCCCTAACTAAAGAAACCGCGTGAGAAAAGACTCAGTAAAAGTTGCAAAAAACCAAAATTTTTCGATCAAAATTTTGATAATTTTCTGAAATTTGTCAATCTGTTTTGGGGATCGAGTTTTTGAGTTTTTAGAGTTAGAGCAATAAAATTTTGTGTGTTAGGAGCGTGCTAGCATAATGTGCTCGACTGCCAGAAAAATTCTTGAGTAACCCTCCGATTAGCTCCGTGGATAGAGCTAACGACTTAAGAATTGGAAAAGGAAGGAATCGGAGGGTCCAAATTTGATAGTTATTGGCCAAATTTTTGTCTCCAAACCCATTTTTGGTCCGGTTTTTTGCATAATTCCAGTGCCGTACAGGGCTACTACGCTCGTTTCAATTTTTTTTAGGCACTTTCAATAGGAATTGCGGAAAAAGTTTCTCAGAACCTATATAGGTGGTGAAAAAAGGCCATTTGGACAAACACGTGTTTGGCAATTTCTCAAAGACTAGCCAACCGATCGGGATAATTTTGGTACCAGAAGTCGACGTTTTGGACAAATTTTCCGGATCGCAACCGTTTTTGAGTTGATAATCTCGGAAAAGAAAAAAATTTTAGAATTTGTTGGTTCGGAGGGTCCAAATTATAACTAACCCTCCGAGCGGCAGAAAATTTTATCAAAACACCTTTTTATCCAACTGGGAAGGTTGATCGTGTCAGCTAACCTAGTTTTAAGTCAGGTGGACCGCTTTTGGAGATTTTATCGCGGTAACATAACCTTTTTTCTTGATTTTTTTGGGAACCCTCCGAAGTAACCCTCCGGAGTCAGCCAAACCCCTAAGCAACCCTCCTTAGTGGAAATTTTCCACGAGATCATTCAAAGAAGTTAAAACAGTCCGCCATAGAGAATTTAGCTTGTTTTGACGCTTCCTGAAGTTAATTGAAGGCCCTTCTAAGTGAGGTTCAGAAATTTGAAAATTTTAGAGGTACCCTCCGAAGTAACCCTCCGGAGCATATTAAGCATCCTATTGACCCTCCTTAGTAAATTTAGGGGGACCCTCCGAAGTAACTTGGGTGATTAAGGTACCCTCAGAAGTAACCCTCTGAGGTAGGCCAAGTGTCTTAACAACCCTCCGAAGTAACCAACCGGAGTGACTTAAACATCTTAGCAACCCTCATTGTTAGAAACTTGAGGAAATCCTCTGTGGCAATTTGGGAGACGGGAAATATCCATTTAATAAAGATCATATTAGGATATTAGGCGTGCTTACTAGGATCATAGGAGCCCATTTTGACCCGGAAATTTGTGATCAACTTCGGGTGTATCAGAAGTACCCGAACAAAATTTTTTTTTGATTGTGATTTTGGTGTTGTGGTTGCCTTGAGCTACTTAATAGGAAAGTTCGGGCAATCCGGGAACAAATAAAGGAAGACCTCGGTGAGTGTATTAAGCAAATACACACTCACTTGAGAAGAAAAGTTGTTCCCTACTCTCGTGCACTTGGAGCAGTCCGGGTGTGGGGGAGCTTTTTCTTAGACTATAGAAATTTTCGATCAGAGGTTGCCTTGAGCTACTTGGTAGGACTGCTCGGGCAATCGCAGGGCACCTAAAAGAAGACCTCGGTGGGTGTATTAGGCAAACACACACCCACTTGAGAAGACTGTGTCCTGGGCTTTGTTCTTTCGGATCGTTCCGATTGAGGGAAGTCTTTTTCTTTAAGACTAAGATTTATTGATCTGCTTCTGAATCATCACTGCTTTTTACCAAAGATTGTTTGATTTTAACAAAGCAGTGACTTGATAAATTGTGTGGCAAAAAATTGATACTGACGAGAGGTCGCTGTCACCTGTAGGATATTCTCATCTGACTATCGATTGTGTTTTGTGTGTTGATTATATCTTGTGAAAATTTTGTGATACTGTTATACTATACAACAGGGTTGAGTTAGCATTATATCAATACTGAGTAGGCCCTGTGTGTAACTTTAGCTGAATCGCTAAGATTGTCATTGAGAAGTCTAAGAGACATTTTTGATACCTACGAGATCGAAGAGGCAGCGTTAAGTAATTTAACTTGAAATTGTTGCGGTACGTGTGCATCGCCATTAAATAATAAGAATATTGTTATTTGTCACAAAGTATGCAGCGCAGGGACTCGTTAGGATCGACTACTAAGATTCCCAGGCTGAGCAAGGGCAGCACGCGAAAATTTAAAACTAGGCGTAGCCAGTCCTCGTTTAGCAGCGCCTCCGACGTGTTTGCTGAAAACGAATCGACTAAAGGTCAACCTGATCTTTCAGTGAGCGAAATGAAACTAAGGAGCGAGAAAAACCTCAATGGCGATCAAGGGCGGAGCGCCGAGGCCGGAACCGCGAGCGAAACGCTTGTGGACCCCTTTGACGAAGGGGAACGGACGCTCATTCGACCCGACTTTGAGCTGAGCGAGGACCTCGAGCGGGAGGAAGTTGAGAGGACGGAGGAGATATCGGAGCGTTCCGAGGTCGAGCCGCGAGAGGAAGTGTTATTCAAGGGAATGTCCAAATCGGAGACCAAGAGTCATAGGTGGAGGAGAGAAAATTCACATTCAGCTAATACCCACTCATCCCTGGCCAAGCAGAGCAACAACGCGATGATGTCGAGTATAAGCCCGAGTGAAAACCAACTAGGTTCGAAGGCCAAGAAGAGCTGGAGGTCTTTGTACGATGAGCGCA